TTTTTTTTTTTTTTGTAAAAACTAAAAAAAACTGATTTTTTTTTACTAAAAACTGAAAAAAACGAAAATATTTTTTTTCTAGTTTTTACAAAAAAACAGCTTTAAAAAAAATAAAAAGCAATTTTCTAAAACAATTAAAAACTGAAAAAAACTAAAATCTTTTTACCTAAAAACTGAAAAAAAGAAAATATTTATTTTTTCAGTTTTATAAAAAAGCATTGCTTTAGAAAATTATTTTTCAGTTTTTTTTTTAATTTTTACAAAACAAATTACTTTAAAAATTATTTTTCAGTTTTTTTAAAGCAATATTTTTCTAAAAAAATATTTCCGATTTTTTCAATTTTTAGTAAAAAAACATTCAATTTTTTCCAGTTTTTACAAAAAATATTGCTTTAGAAAATTGCTTTTCAGTTGTTTTTCAGTTTTTACAAAAACATTATTTTAGAAAATATTTTTCAGTTTTTTTTAAAGCAGTGTTTTTGAAAAAACTGGAAAAAAAATATTTTTATTTTTTTTAATTTTTAGTAAAATAAAATTTAGTTTTTTCCAGTTTTTACAAAAAAAAAAATTGCTTTAGAAAATTGATTTTCGGGTATGGGTAATGAGTCTTTTTAATTAATTAGGAGATGTTTAGAATTGGCCAACAAGACGATGACATGTGTTCCTCCGTTTAAATAAGGGTTATATTTGAACCCAAAGTATGACCGTAGGGGTATACATAACCCAATAGTATAACGAGTGGTATTTTTAGACCATTTTCGAAAGTATAGAGGTATATTTGGCCCTTTGTTAAAATTCCAAGAGCAGTGGCTCTTTTGTGAAATTTTTCTCGCTAAAATCCCAAGCCCAAAGCTCTTCTGACGGCAAAGCATGAACAACAAACAAAACATACCCAAATCCAAACCCGTTTTCCGCCTGAAAGTCACTGAAGCCGCCAACTTCTTCTCTCTTTCTGCAGCAAACTCCTCAGTTGTAAATCAAATTGTATGTTTTTCACATACTTTCCCTTGTTTCTGTCTATCATTTTTTGCTGATTTTAACTGGTAAATTATGAATTATAGTGGAAATGGACTATAATAACTACTAAGTATGTGTTTATGCCTGTATCTTTAGTGGAAGCATTCTTTACTGAAATCAGTGAACTGGGTATGCTGAAAGTTAGAGTCTTGATACTATTATTGTTCTCTTTTTTGGTGATTAAAAGCCAAACTTGAACTTGTTTTGCTGGGTTGCTCTAATGAATTATACTTGGTAGTGCATAAAATTGAATTAGCTATTTGGGAGCAACTTAGGGTTGTTTGGTAGACTGATTAGTTGTTATGCGGTGAATAATTCAGGGATTTTTATGCCGCGAATAATAATGATATAGGAATTGGTTAGAAGAGTGTTTTACTAATTATTATACGTGTACAAATTTTAATTAAAATAAAAATCTTCCAACTAAATATTACTACTATTATGGTTTTTATTTTCACTATAGAGGAATTTTTGTAGGAGTATCTATTAAGTAAAACTAATACAAGATGTCTTAAGGGTATTGTTAATTAATGTATTGTTATTTCACATTCAATCCCAGAAAAATAAGTACTAGTATATAGATTTCTGCTGTATAACTTTTTGTGGAACAAAATTAGTAACCAACGGCTACAAAAGTGCTCAGAGTTTTATGCGATACTATTAGGTTTCTTTATGTGGGAAGCCAAATGAGCTTTCATTGGGTATCTTAAAGATGCTTCAGTGCTGATACTTCCTTTATCATTTCATTGCCAGGTAAGTTGAAATGATATCAAACTTGAAGCATTTCCCCTACTTCTGGTGTTTGAGAGCTCGAAGGCGTCTGAATGTGCGGAGAAGTTCTGTTTACTATGTTTCTGATGATTTGTTGTGCAATAGATATTGTACTGTGACAGAGACAGTTAATACTGATCAGCAGCCAAAGGTGACCGAGTCACCAGAACTTCCAGATTGGGTTAAAATTGTAAAGAAAGAGGAAACAGTGGTTGACTTTGGAGATGATGACTTCTTACTTCCCTCATTCTCAGAATGGGTAAAAAATGAGAAGCTTCGTGCAAAGGAAGTTGATGTGAGAGGTTTGGCAAGCGATATTGCAGACAGCGATGTTGATAAGATTAGCAAATTATTGAGGTTTCATTTCAAATCACCTGATGCTGTTGTAGATGCATTGAATAACTGCACATTTGATGTTTCAGAGTGTTTGGTTGAGCAAATTTTGAAGAGGTTCAGTTGTGAGTGGATACCTTCTTACGGGTTCTTTAAATGGGCAAAAGTGCAAAAGGGTGTCACACTTTCCTCTGATTTGTATAATCTAATGGTTGACAACTTGGGAAAATCAAAGAAGTTTGATCTTTTGAGGGAATTGATGGACGAAATGAGTCACTTGCAAGGGTATGTTTCATTGAATACTATGATTAAAATCATGAGAAGGCTTGCCAAGGCTGATAAATATGAGGATGCAATAGAGGCATTTACAAGAATGCAGGAATTTGGCGTACAGAAGGATACAAGTGGTATGAATGCATTAATCGATGCATTGGTGAAGGGAGGAAGTGTGGAGCATGCTCATAAAGTTTACCTAGATTTGAAGGATCATATAGCTCCAACGGTCCAAACATATAATATCTTAGTGCATGGTTGGTGCAAAGCTAGAAACATTGACAAAGCAAATGAAACTGTTAAAGATATGGAGGAGCGTGGTTTTAGCCCTGATGTGGTTACATATACTTGCTTCATTGAAGCCTATTGTCGTGAAAAAGACTTTCGCAAAGTTGATGCTATTTTCAAAGAGATGCAAATGAAGGGATGCTCACCAACTGTGGTGACGTATACCATAAACATGAAAGCACTAGGGCAGGGAAAGGAAGTGGATAAAGCCTTGGATGTATATGAGAAGATGAAACAAAATGGTTGTGTTCCTGATAATTCGTTTTACAGCAGCTTGATCCACTTGTTAGGAGCAACTGGGAGACTGAAGGATTGTTATGATATATTTGAAGATATGCCAAAGCAAGGAGTTTCACCTGATACGTTCACATATAACACCATGATTACAATTGCTGTAAAGAACTCTAAAGAGGAGGATGCTTTAAAATTTCTCCAGAAAATGGAGGAGAGTCAATGCAAGCCTGATATTTGTACTTACGCGCCATTATTTAAAATGTGCTGCAGAATGAGAAGAATGAAGGTGCTATCCTTTCTATTGAATCACATGTTCAAAAATGACGTGAGCATGGATCTTGGAACATATGCTCTTCTGGTTTGCGGTCTTTGTAGGAATAGGAATCCTGAGCGTGCTTGTGCTGTTTTTGAGCTAGCAGTGCTTCGAGGGTTCCTCCCTACGGATACCATGTATGATAATCTCGTCAAAGAACTTGAGGAAAGGGGTTTAAAGGAAGAAAAGAAACGTATCGAAGAACTGATGTTACAAGCTAAGCAGCAAGAATCAGGCACTTCATCCGAGAGACATTTAAAGATTGAAGAATGAATCTTTTCTTGTTTATAAGGGAAATGTTGTACACTGTTTTTTCGTGATATTAGTTGCAACTATTATGGAGCTAGTTCTATCATTCAGAGGCATATTTTAAAGCCCCATAACATTACATTCAGTGAAGTGAAGTGAAGTCAGATTTGGTCGATAATGCCATGGTTTCTGTAAAGTCACCTTACTAATTAGCTGGTCCTAAATTTATGAGAACTTTCCTTTTCCATTGTAGAGTTATTACATATCAGGCCTCATAATTGGATTAAGGATTCTTTTCTTGTTTTAGGACATAATAACCAAGCAGTTTCTCCTATATTTGCTCTTCATAATTTCATATCATTAAGGTGTTAAGATTCCTTTGCTTGAAAGAAAATTGGACAAAATGGAAAGACGTATCTTATTGTATTCAAATGAAAAGAAATAGAGAGTACTGTTGAGTATGTGTTGGAACATATCTTTGAGCATAATGTACAGTTAACACATCCAATTTGCTGGACCTAAAAAGGAGAAGTACAACAATCACTACCAATGCATTCACGGGAAACCAGCCAAACTTCTTGACCAGAATCATTGTTAAACATGGGACAAGTGTTTTTGATTCAGAAGCTTCCATACTTGGAAAGTAACACTAAGAGTTAATATGCTGTCTCGCTTCCCTGGAGAACAGTGAATTCAATCTACTATGTTGAGTTAATCTCTTTGTCCTTGGCCTTTGCCATCCTAGTCTTTCCAAAAACTCCTCTATCAACCTGAAAATGAACGATTATATCAGAGTAAGGACACTATTGAAACAGAAAAAAGGCCTTTTTTTTTAAAAGTTATACTCACATGCTGCAAATAGCCTTCTGTGAGGAAGCCAGCTCTCGATCTGGAAAGCTCTCCTCCAAGCGATAACTCAACCAAACATACAGATCCAAAACCTTCAATTGAATTTCACAAGAAATATATAATCAGTATAATCTATTTGAAATTCTACCAAGTGAAAACCTACATAAATTCATCAACAATAACAAATAAACACATTTAGCAACCATCTTGAAATGAAGTGTATATCAGTTTTCATGTGTATGATATGCTCATTTGTGTTGGTCAAAAATTTCGTCGCCAAGTAACATCAGTCTAAACACATACATCAGAAAACAAGTTTGCACCAAGTTAATGTCTATGTTAAAGCAGTGACAGGAGGCAAGTGATTTTCAAATAAACAAGAAAACTGTTACACCCTCAACTTGTTTTCAAGCGTTATGACTTTATTTGACAAGAGTGGGTTGCTCTAGTGGTGAGCACCCTCCACTTCCAATCAAGAGGTTGTGAGTTCGAGTCACCCCAAGAGCAAGGTGGAGAGTTCTTGGAGGGAGGGAGCCGAGGGTCTATCGGAAACAGCCTCTCTACCACAGGGTAGGGGTAAGGTCTGCGTACATACTACCCTCCCCAGACCCCACTAGTGGGATTATATTGGGTTGTTGTTGTATGACTTTGTTTGCACATTTGATAGCATAGAGCAGGAAATGGTGCATATGAAACCAAAAAACTGGGTCAATCTCCCTCTAACGCAAGTGATAAGGAGCTTGTGGACATGAAATTCTCAAGGAGTCGAGAAATAAAATGAAAATTTAACATACTTCAACAGAATTTACAACAACAACAACAACAACAACAACAACAACCCAGTATAATCCCACTAGTGGGGTTTGGGGAGGGTAGTGTGTACGCAGACCTACACCTACCCTGGGGTAGAGAGGCTGTTTCCAATAGACCCTCGGCTCCCTCCCTCCAAGAACTCCCACCTTGCTCTTGGGGTGACTCGAACTCACAACCTCTTGGTTGGAAGTGGAAGGTTCTCACCACTAGAGCAGCCCACTCTTCAACAGAATTTACATAATCGGAATTTCATAAAAGTTTGTGACTGACAATAACTATGCACAAAAACTGGAAAACTTTCATAGAATAGAAGAAGCCGAGACGGAGTGACAAGAACTTCTACACTACCCTTGCACAATAGGACTGTCTTAACCTCAATACCCAAAACTACTTCAGGTTGGCTACATGAACCCTCTATATCCGTCCACTTTATTGGGGCCCATTTCATACTATTATTGTAAACAATTTGTCTTTCAAAACAAATTAGGGATTCTCTAAACTAGTTGAGTAAAATAAATGCAATTATTATAATCACTAAGGTAATGACTACCAAAATGCTTTCATAAGCATAAAGCATTCAGAAATCAGTCTAAATACTTGAACTGCTTAACAAGTGTGGACAAAGTGTGAAGTAGCAAAATACGACATGCTAACCTTGTGAATTGATTCAAGCTCCTTAAGTGCAGTATGAGATTTTGGCACCTTAAGCGTCCCAGGAGTAAATATTTCGCGCAGCCGTACCAGGCCATTTTTAGAATAATTTGTTGCAAACTGATGCATCAAAGCAGAGTGATCATGTAAATTCCTCATCCAAAACAATCATCCTTGAAATGCTATAAGGTGAAAAATCATCTTACTTGAGTGAGGCCTTGAGATGAAATGTCATCATCCATGTCAACTGGACTACATACCAGAAATAAAATGAGTCAATGATACTCTTCTGACATCGGATTATTCTCTATCAGGAGCATATGCAAATAACATATATCCGTTTAAGAATTTCTTGGGGTGTTTATATATACTCATAATTGTTGTTATAATTTCAAAGCTGATACAGTAACTCTGGCTGCATTTGCTTGCATGCCTAAAATGTTCTCTGTTACTATTGTCAAGCTACAGAAAGCTATAAACATGTCATAACTTCCAATTATCTTCTTTGTAAGAGCCAAAGATGTTACCTTATACAGAAGAGATATTTATCGTGCAAACTGAGGGGTAGTGTATCAATAAGAGCAGCAACTTTCTGTTCCAAGGTACAGTACAATCAATAATCAAAAAGAGCAGAAAGATCAGGAATCCAACAAAATGAATAACTGCAAGGACAGAACACAATCTAGAAAAACAGTCTGCTACTAGAAGGAAAGGAAACAAATTGAGCAAGAATACCATACCAACATTTCTTCACAATTAGCAATGAAATAGTGCTCCGATAACTTGGCATTGTCCAGAAAATGCTCCTGCAAAGACAAAGGTAGAATAATTCTGAGCACTCAACTTGCAATCCCGCAGAAAGGCAAAATGGTAATAAACCACTCAGTGTTTAACAGTTTCAGTGGCAAAAGCCATTGTACTAGAACACATCCATTGACATCCATAATTTTCTAGTAATGGCATTTGGAGAAGATAGAAACACAAACGAGGATAGTTTGTTTGGAAGTTATGGTTAGATGAATACTGTAAAACTAGACTATGAGAATATATGTTGGGGAGAATCTGAGTTGGTAACTTACCAGTATCTCATGTAGGCCATGCTTTGGATGTAGACGAGAATACATGTATAAAAGGTCGAAGTTTGGAAAGAGGCCAGCTCGCTGCATTGTAAATTATTGCTCTTCAGTTACCATGATCTAATCTCTTGAATAGATAATCCCACTAAAATTGGAGCATTTTAAAGAATTTATTTTGTCAGGGAAGCTGCCTCCACCATAAAATGACAAGAAAAGCAAGTATGATATTCCAGCATTTAGGGTGGCACTAATTCAGCAGCAAGTAAATTACCTCAAGTACAGGAGATGGAGAATCCAGCGAAGAATGAAGTAGTGGCAGATCATCTGCGTCCAAGCAAGTTACTTCACCAACAGAAAACTTGGATTTGTACCTGCCTGCTCTCCCTACAAGAAAGTGTAATCATCGAAATAGTCATTTCAGAGAACATTGATACTTGAGATACTAAATGCATAAGTGTTGGATGATGCTCAAGAGAGTTCCTGAAAATCATTCTAAGTGTCTATACCGTTTAGATTTGAAACTCACTCTATTCGGATTACATAGTAAAGCAGCTAAAACGGCTATCCAAAAGCCCAAAGTCCAAGACACCAAGGAAGAATTTTTTGAAAACTCTTTCCAAACAGATTTTTCCATCAATAACGAGACGTTACTAATTGAGCAAATCAGAAATTAAGAAAACTTTGATTTGGGTAGTATCTTTTCTCATGGCAATAACATTGTTCTGTTCCTATATATTTACACATTAAAAGGAAGGAGGTTAAGATGTGTCTCATCACAACATTAAGCTTTTATTTAACTTATCTCCTATAATTCAAATGTTAAAAGGAAGGAGGTTAACATGCATCCAATCACAACAATAAGCTTTAGACTTTACGTATAAACAGAGTCACTGCATTGTTAATTAAGCAGAAACACCGTATAGAAAACTACTAAACCATTTCCGACCACCAGCAGTGTAAGTTAGAAGTTAAAGGATGATACTGCATCCCTCCAAAGATGAGTACTCAATCAGATCTGATCCACTATACCAAGTTGTGCTCCAGTAAAATAACATACCTGCTATCTGCTTTATCTCTGGCACAGTTAGATCCCGCATTTCAACACCATCAAATTTCTTTAATGTTGAAAATATAATTCTAGAAATGTTAAGGTTGAGACCCATCCCAATAGCATCACTCGCTACAAGAACATCAGAGTCACTGCTTGCATCATTGAACAATGTTGCCTGCAATCTTACAGAATATATTTACTAACCAATTTGTCAGAGCATGATAATAGACATCAAAACAGATTGCAATTTAGGCAAGTCATCACAGATGGAATGCCATTCAAGCTGTAACATAAACTAGGTCTATCATAGCACACTGAAGGAAAAACATAAAAAATAAAAAACAATTGTAAGAAGAATAAGTATGGCCAGATGACAGGAAGGCCAGAGTAAAAAGTTGATGATTAAAGAGAATCATCTAGGATGATAATGTTGATAAAGTGAGTTATATCCTCAGCCTGAACAAAAACGGATTACAACTAACCAAGAAACAAATGCAGGCAACATTGTTGGCCTAAGTAAGTTTGTTTTGATGATTGACAAAGTAACTCAAGCATGAACCAGGTCCATACACAACGTACATAGATACGGGCAGATTCGAGCACAAGACATGCACGTGAAAGAGATAAGCTTAAGTGGTTATATCTGATATCTCCTGAACGAAAAGGTTGCATAATTGATAAGGAGAAGGATTTCTTACTCGAAGAGAACTCTATCCTAGATAAGGGAGGAGTTAGAAGTTGAAGATAACTACAACTCTTCCACCAAGGAAGAGTAAAGCATTAGACTTCTAGTTATTTCTTATTCTACTAACTCTATATATTGCAGGATGTTCTCATTTTACAGGCACACAAAAACGCTGAAGTTAAACGAGAGTTGAAAGCAAAATAGCAAGGCATTTTGCAAGCAATTCCTGTGTGATTCAAGTGTGCGAACCTGAAGCTACATGAACCAGATAGAAGAACCACTTCCAAGTGTCTGTCTTTTATTCTAGTTCAATTGTAGTAGGGCTTTTGAGTTGTACCTTTCAGCTTTCTCTAGAAGCATTTGTACTAGGTACTCTGAGTGTAGTGTTCAAGTTAGAGTTAACTTGAAATTGTCGCAACAGTTTGAGGCTGGCTGCCACAAAGGGTTAGAGGTAATCCTTAGGTTTACAAAGAGTTTTGTAAATGCTGTTTTTGGCTCGGTAATTTAGTAAAGTGTTGGGAAAAATCCTACTGAGTTGTAGGTCGTGGTTTTTTCACCTTTTGAGCCAGGTATTTTCCACGTAAAAATACTTGTGTTTTTTACTTTCTGCATTTATTATTCCGCAACAGTAATATAAGGAACACATAGAAGAACCAGGTCTTTCTATAATCTGTGCACGCGAAAAATTGGACACCACACAAATCACCCCCCTCTTGTGTGTTATTGAAGTATAAAACATCAAACAACAATTGTAGGAATACTCAGCAGATGACTGGACACGAACCAATCTTAACTCCAATGCAGACAAAAAGAAAGGATCAGAATTAAACCTGTCTAGTTCGAGTCTCTGGCGGCAATGAACCATAAACAACAGAGCAAAGATGCTTTCCCCCCGTTTCAATTAGTTTCTGTTAACATCAAGAGCAATAGTATGAATCAGGATAAACAGAAATTTAAAATCTAAATATCAGTTATATATCCTTTGAGCATAACAGGATAAGAAGTTCAATGGCTATTACAAAATCTAAACTTTGATCAGCGGGATTATCCAACGCAGAACTAGATTTTAACTCATAGCAGAACTTCATCAACTGAATGCTAGTTGATTTCAACTTGCTCCTATCAGGGCATACATTCTACATACCAATTCACTGCATGCCCCACCCAGTTGTGCTGTGATTATGACATGCCAAGCCAGTTACTCCAGTAATTTAAATTCACTTGATCCCAACTTCTCCTAACAGTTTAATCCTGCTATCTACCAAGTTGCAAAAAAGTAGCAACAGATTACAACTAATGTCACCTGATTTCAACTACTTCTATCAGTATATACATGGTATACAAGAAGTTACCCCCTAAAGGTAATTTCCTCTAATTTGCGTCACTCTTTCTTTCTTTCTTTCTTTCTTTCTGTCCTACTGCACCAGGGTGTGGCTGTGACATTAGTGTGTAAAGTTGTTCCTCACCTTCATCCTGTATATCTCCGTACGCGAGAAGGTGACTACGCAGTCACCAGTCCTTATATTGGAGAAAGATCCTAAAGGAACCTTTAATGGGACAAGAGGTGAGAGCCTCTCATAGTATTGAACCTGGCAGCAAAGGGAAGCAAGAAAGTCACATTATTTATAGAAGGCACAAAAAAGAAATAAACAAAAAGTTACTAGCATAAATAAACTTTGAAGCAATTACAAAGCAGCTTGAAGTAGCATAATTATTTTTTATGACAAACTTGGAGTATCATAAAAATTGATAGGAGTGTTTGTTGGGTCTTGTGGGGAGAAAGCTTGGTGTTTTTAAGGGATGGTAACATATTTGTATATTAATAAATAAACTACACAAAAACTGTGTATTCACCCTATTTACAGTGCGAGTACAGGAAGAATTCCTAGTTCTTTGTCTTTCCTTTGGCACCGAACTAAGTAAGCTACGTCTCATGCAAACAAGCCCAAGCCCATTAAACTTAGGCACTAGACGTACACATCAAGTTCAATGAGTATCATATAAGACTATGGAATAAAAGGGGAAATTCGTCAGAAATACGTCCTCAGCCTCAACTATGTTGTTCAAGATATGTTAGTCACCTAACTGGCCATATAAATGAGTATCTTCTTTAAAATAGTTAAGGGTTATCCAGCTTTCCTTATCCCTTAGCAGAGTTTGAAGATGGTGTCTTCAATCACAGTCTAAAATGAACCAAGGATAACAGATAATTCTAGACAAAAGAATTGAAATGGCCAGATTGCACATTAGTAATTTTTTCAAATTAAACATCAGAGAAGAAAAGCTCAGTACCTTGATGGTGTCTCCAGTCACTTTGAGGATTTCCTGAACAAGAGGAACAGCTGCTGCATCTCCACACAGATGCAACTCATTAGCAGCTAATCCCAATAATGCACGTGTAAACGAAAAGCCCCTTGACCTACACCCTATCATCTGAAAAAAGAATATGTCATACACAGTAAAATATCCAAGGACAGAAGAAAAGAGTAACAAAGAGAACTGGATCACTAGGTAATAGCAACGGAAACACATTTGGTTCAGAAAATGCGACGAGGCTTAAAGAAAAGACTGATACCAAAGAGTGACTCTCTCTCTTTTCCCCACTCCCCCCACCCCCCCCAAAAAAAAAAAAAAAAAAAAAA